CTCTGCCTTTAGTAAAAATGTTAATGATATCTATACTAGCAAGGTATTCGAAAACGCAAAAGAAACTAAAAGAAAAAAGAAATTAACGGCTATCGAAAAAGCTATATTACGCTATGGCGCATCAAAAATCATTGATTTGTCCATCTACATAAAAGAATGGTTTTGTGTTTCTGACAAAAAATTTATTTCAAAAAATCATGAATCTTTACTACAAATTCCTGAGCTTGCAGCCGAAGAAAGTTCATTTGTTGCGAAAATTGAGAATGTATAGAGTTTTATCTTCTGTAAATTTTTAAACTTGTTTGTCAATGTTTATATATATTAATTCACTTTCCTTGTAGTTGATACGTAAAGGAAAAGTCGATCAAGCATACGAATACTGCATGGATACTCATATTAAATCTGATAAAGACAGTTTCTTATACAAGATTAGTAAAATATACAGCAACTTGTAAGTTATTCAGTACTACCTAGTTATTATTATTATTTTTTTATAAACTTATTCTTATTTTCGATGTATTTAGTATTTATAAAAGCAAAGATCGAGAAAATATCTTGGATTTTTCCTCAGAAACTACACATACAGAAATTGATATAATCCTAAAAGCATGTGCATACATTGTCGAAGGACTAAACAAAAACCTTAAAGTATATTCTATATGGTTTGTGTAAATCTATTTTATTCATTAGTTAGAATATAATTTTTTTTAAAAGTAATTTGTTTTTTATAATATAGCTATTTTAACAATTATAAATTTATTCATTTAGGGGAGAATCTTTTTGTCTGTTAAGTAAAAATACGGGCTATATGAATAGACGCAAGTGCGATGTTCGATCTATGTCAGAATTTGGAATTGATGTTGGTGAATGGAAATTCTCCGTCAAAGCCATAACAAATAAAACCATAGGTGATAGATGCCACTCTGCTCATATAAATCAATCGATATTAAACAGATTGTTAGAATACAATTTCAATGATAAACAAGTTAAGAATATCCAAGTTCCTTTTTTACAGTTTGGTGGCACAAGTGGCCAATTGTTGTTTGAAGACTTAGTAAAAGGTTTTTACATCATTTTTCTTGGACCAAAGTTTGAACTGCCGATAAAACTTTGAGATATTGGAAAATTGAAAACTGCTATCAGTGTTATCAAGATAGTCGTAGTAAGTTATGATTTTATTTCTGTCATTTGTGGCAAGATTTTCATCACAAATGCATTTTAACGTGATATGTCATGTAGGAGACATATGAAAAAGTATGCGAAACTATAGAAAATCTAGAAACATTTCATCATAAATTTGATGATATATTTAATGAAGATTATCACATTATTGACAAGCCTACGCATTTTAAGTATCAATATATTCACAAACCATGGTGGACACCAAAAAATTATTTGTTTGCGAAGTAAAATATGTTTGCGTTAAACAATATCAATAATTGGTAATTCAATCATTTTTTGCAAGTTGATGCGGATATATAAACAGATATATATATATTAATTTTTTTATATAATCAAAGAAATATATATGTAATAAAAAAGCTTAGATAAATTGTGCATTCTAAATTCTTAAATTTACGAATAATATTAGAACTATTATTGTGTAGCGCTATATGATTGGACCCAGGGACTAGTGTTCTGCATGAATCGGACCGGGCAGATATTTTTAAAGATCTGGATCCGGTCCAAAGAACGAATCGGATCCAAAACTTGAATCCGGTTCGGTATTTCTAAACATTTTGACCAATCAGAAAAGCTAGCTTATAACTTTGAACCAGACCGGGCGGATCTCAATAAGGGTCTGAACCCGGTTCGCTCACAGATCCGGACGGGCAGGCGGATGGACAGGATCTTTTGCAGAACACTACCAGGGACTGTCAAAAATTTTGGAAAATTTTGGATTTTGACCAGCATTACGAAATTAATTTATAATTTAGGCCATGTCAATAACTATTAATAATCCGAGTTTTTGCAATTTTTG